GTGGTTCAATATCTGCCTGTAAGTTTTGTTCGCACTATTTCTTTGTTTCCTTTCACTGGCTTCCAACCAGCTTTAATTTTGTCTTCCATTAACATTCAGCTGCTGCTGAAGTGGAACGTACTGCAGTTACCACATTGTCTTTCCTGGAAGTTGTCCAAGCCATTTCATAAACAGTTAAGCATTTACCTTTGTATGTATTATACATAGGAAGCTCACTTGATACTGAAATGCAGCTTTCCCCGGGTTGGAAGATGGCAGGTATAAAGGGAAAGAAAGAAAAAAAGTAATGTTTTGAAACAGCTCTTCCAAATGTCTGCCCAACTGAGTGTATGGGGTCATTTCTTTGTTGTGAAACCTTTTTTTTTTTTCTTTTCTCCCCAGAGTCTGCAGGAGAAAAAAGTAATTCCTTGTCCTCCGTTTTATGAGTCAGATAATCCTGTCAAAGGTACAGCTTTTCTTTGCTTCAGTTTTGTTTTTTTCCATTGAATCATCGCACCCATTGGCTTCTCTTTGTGCCTGTTCTTCCAAGTGTTGCTGTACCTTTAGGACATGTCAGTGTGGTAGACACCTGTTTAAGGGTTTATAATATGGTCATAAAAACTGCCTCCAGGCTAAAACAGTGTATTAGGTTGAACATGGTTATGTTGAAATAAGGCATTAACTTGTAACAGCAAAGGTCCTCAGCCCCTGAAACAGCTTACCAAGAGTTGTGGTGAATGTTTCATCAGCAGTTTTCAAATCAAGATAGGATACTTTTCTAAAAATGCTATAACTCAAGCAGACAGTAATTCAAGGAAGCCCTATTGCTTGCCCTAAACAGGAGGTCCGAGACAAGGGTCACAGGATCCTTTTTGGCTTGAGTATGTGAATACACTAGGCTTTTTTAGAAAAATAATTGCTCATTGTTTGTTTTTACATGCACGTGCCATGTATGAAAGAAAAGCTTCAGCTATTTAAAGAGGAGCAAGGATTTCTGCAGGTGATAACTCTTGTTGAACCAACTCCATGTTAAAGCTATTTAAAGAGAAATTTGAGTTTAATTCATCCTCAGGAGTGGAGGGAAAAGTTGCAAAGTCCAAGTTCTTGCACACTTTGAGAGTTTTTTAAAATACGCATCGTAAAATTACATTTCATAAAAGTAATCGTTACCTGCTGGCTTTTTGAAAAGTGCAGTTTTCAGTTACTCAGCGACAGATTAGTCTCTGTCTTTATTACTCTTTGATTATTAAAAAAAATGAAATCATCTTCATTCAAAACTGCAGTACTGACATAAATGACATAAACTTGGAGTAAAAGCTGAAATGTCTTTTATATATGCAAAGCATTAGGAAATGTTGGGGTTGTCTTTCTCCAGTGTCCCAAAACGGGTTAGATCAGTTATGTACTTCACTCTTGCCTCCTGAATTTCCTAGGATCAGATTGGTCCTCTCATGTCGTATGTGGTATGTTGTTTGTCATGTGGCTGGCTAGATGGTCCGTCAGAACTGTTGCCCATGCTATTGCAGAGGTAAACAATTTCCACAAAAAAGTCTTTATCCTAGTGGCATTTGTTTTATTTGTTTTTCACTGCAAGCATAATAACCAGTCTGCAAGGAAGGGCTCTCTCAAGAAGACTTGGGCTGTTGATTTTCTTGTTCCTTCTTTGTCTTCCAGTCCTGGATGTACTGTGGGTCGGCACATACGTCTTCACTATAGTGTATGCAGCTGCTGATGGGACCCTGGAAACAGCTCCCGAAGTGGTGATGGTCACATTGCCAGTACGTGCCAAGAAGACATAATTTCTCTTTTCTCACTGTCTGAGTTTTCTGTTCCTGAAGTCAGTGCTGGTGCTGTTTGTTCTTTTGACCTGCTTTTTCCAGCAGTCTGTTTCTTTTATTCTCCTTAGCATCAAATAGAAGGTCAGTTTGATGTTCTGAATTCAGGAGATAATTCTTTTATGGCTAAAAAGGGAAGTAGGATCAAATTTTGAGTGCATCCTTTGTGCTGGATGCTGTAAGGAGGCCTCCATCAAGAGACCTTTGGTTTGTCACAGATGTGTTGGCTACTCAAAGGCTGATTTTTCTTGAAACTTGCCACTGGGCTATGATGCTGTATACAACATCAGCTGCTCACTCTGGGGCTATTTATGCATCATGACTCCATCCCCCTCATATTATCTCTTATTGTTCCTGTGGACTCAACATATTTGGATCCGGTTGGCTTTGCAAGAGGCATTAATTGCCTCCTAATGTGTATAGTATCGTTATTATTGCACCCATATAGGTTTGTTTTTATGCAGGCTGAGTTGAGTGGTTTTAATGGACAGTAAATCACATGTTAATTCCTGTTTCTCTTGTCCATGCAGAAAAAGGAAGAGAAACGACCAGAGAAATTTGTGAATTTCATGGAGCCCTGCTATGGTAGTTGCACTGAGAGACAACATCATTATTTTCTCAACTATGTTGAGGATTGGTGAGTGTAAGGTCCCATGATTGAGATTATCTGCCTTAAAATATTGTTCAGAGCAGTCTATCCCTATCTATTCTTATTGTTTAGCTTATAGTGAAGAGGGATATGACATCTGCTTGTTGAGCACATGATGTTGGGCTGCACCCTTTAACCTTTGCAAATGGACCCATTCATATGTTGTCAATGTACAACATAGCACAGATATACTAAGGATTTTTTAAAAACTTTCTACTGAGAATTAAAGCAATTGGAGTATGGGTTTAGATTTACCTCATGTGTCTATGTGAGGTTGCTAGGTCCTGTTTGTTAATCTGCTAGATTCTTTTCTATTGCAAATAGTTTAGGATAACAATGGTGTGTGACTCGGCTACATTGCTAACAGATAAAGGAAACGATTTCCCCAATGGGTAATAAATTGTCTTTCTGAAATGGCGTAGACATAGTTATACTGCTCTGTTTCAGATCAGTTACAGCTCAGTTTCCTATTTGATACCTGTAGCTTGGCTATGAATTTGGGCTGAGGAATTCCAAATGGATAATTATCACTTTTGGATTTAACCCTGTTTTGATTCTTTACTTGAAGGGATCTAGTCCTAGCAGCTTCAGCAGCTTCCACAGAAGTCAGCATCCTTGCCAGACAAGGAGACCAGGTAACCTTCCCTTCTGTGGCACTTGTACAATTGTACCTTTTTTAGGAAAGAGATCTGGATCTCAGCATGTGAGGCATGAGGAACACTTTGTTTCAGTGTTTGAGATGCCACAGCATCATGAGATGAAAGGGATGCTTTGTTACCTCTCTATGTTGCCTGTGGGCAGGAGAATTCTTAGTGACTAAAACTTCACATGATTGGAGTGGAACAAAACATAAAGTGAACAACGTGCAAAAGGAATAGTTTTGCATCATTGGCTTGCTGCCAGCTTAACAAACAGAGTTCCTTTTCACCATGGTGCCCTGTTTGCTGGGTCCACCAGTTTAAACCAAACCTTAAAGACAAGTCATCTCAGCAAATATAGATGTTCCACGTGAAAGCCATTCAGCAATTTGTGACAGTTTTGGATATTGGATATTGTAAACTGACAGTTTTCGACAGAGAGAGTGTCTTGTTGCAATCTGTTCTTTCACCACATTGTACTGGCGCTCCGGAGCCAGGATCACAGTTGTTTGTGAAATACGAGGGATTTTTGCTTCTTGTTACTGTGAGCGAGTTGTGCTAAGAATGCTGAAAACCAAAAAAAACATTGCTAAATTTTGTTCTTTCTTTCCAGAGCAATTGGGAATTATGGGTTCTGGAAGACTCCAGCAGAGCAGAACTTCCTGTGACAGATAAGAGTGATGACACCTTACCAGTAGGTGTGGCCATCGATTATACCAGTAACATGCCTATACCAATCAGTAAGTCTGACCCAGGTACTTTGCTAATAGGGAATACTGCACAGATAGCAGGTCAGGCACCTGTGGGGGAGGGGCAGAGTGATTAGTCTGGGAGGCTGAGTCTTAAGGCATCTGAAATGAGATTGCTACAAGGAATCTGTCCTGGGCTTTTATGCTGAGCCCAGTGCACTGTGACTGATCAATGAACAGTTAACACTTGAATGCATGTCCAAAAGCTCATTGTCCAGTGTATAAGTTGTCTAATTAAGGAATCTGTGTGTAGACAGGAAGGAAAATGTATGCCTTATGCTTTGTTTTCCATCATTTCCTTGATTGTTGGAATTAATATTATAGTGGCTTTAAAAGCTGGATTCAGATTAACACCCTGGGCCTCAAACTAGCTGTAGAATTTCACTTAGGTATTTGTCTGTGAAAACGGTTTTGCATGCTCTTGTAGCACGCCCATTCCTGCGGGGCTATTTTGTATTATAAGCACCCCCACTGATCTACAGGAGAAGCAGGTTAATTTCATTGCCAGAAGAAACATGGCTCACTGATCTATATGCTTAGGATTTAGCTCTTTGTTAAAGCCTGAACTGACTTCATCCCCTGCTGTGCTCAACACGCTGCCAGTGGCGTTATTGCTCTACCTTGTGCTCTGCCTGAAGGCTTCCCACCTTCAGTCTCTGACAAGGTCTTTGAAGATGCAGCCGAGCTATTTTACCATACCTGGATAAACTATGAGAACTCTCCCTTGAAGCCCAGAGAGTTTGAAACAGAGATGCCTTTGGGCAGAATAGAAGGTAGAGCAGTGACAAGCTACATACGAAGCACTGTGGGGTGCTGATTTAACTGAGAACCATGGTAGCTTTTGTTATAGCAGTAGGTTCCAGTAGGAGATGCATGTCAGAATTGATGCAGAATTGAAGCTGAGGCATTTTCTCTGTTAATCTGTCCACTGCTTTTATTGGATTAAGGAATCTGCTGGGACCAGCTTAAGTCCACACCTTACCTCTTCCAAGTCTTTTCAGAGCCCATTGTCACACAGTCCATACCCTCCTCACTTACCACTCAGGCCCTGTTTGTTTGCACTTGTTCTTGTTTTACCCACTTGCTACAGTTTCTTATATAAAACATGAGGATT